ATCTCTCTTCTTGGTAGTTTTTCAATGTCAAAACAGTCAAATGATAAGACAATGGTCAAAATAAAACATACAGTAAAAAGAGAGATTATACCTTCCAAATTGATGTGATATGTAAAGATTTGTAATTTATAACGATAGTAGGTCTGTTCATGTTGCAAAATCTCCAAAAATTGTTTGCATTTAAAAGGAGATAAATATATATTCGTACATTCAAGCAAGAGAAAGAAGATGCTAAGTGCAAAAAGTATAACCAACACGGACAGATTTCATGTAACTTTTTCTCTAAGACGGAAATATGAAAAATGAAAAATTTTAGGGATAAAAATTTTCACGTTTTTATACATTTCCGTCTTAAGGAAAAAGTTACATGGTTGCTATCTTGGACATTGACTTGAAATGTCAGTGTTTATGGTTAAATTATTACCTTTTAAAAAAGGAACGAAACTGATAGTTGACAATAATACCAGTACTGCCTAAAATTTATAATTGTCAGCGTTGGCCATCGATGTGTCCACGCACACTGTATTCCTTTTTCTTAATGGAGATAAAAATGTATAATCGGTATTCACGCTTACTTTTTTAAATTTCTAAATAATTTTCTAATGTGCACGAACGTCGATATCAAGCCGAACAATCACAAATTTTGGACAGGGTATAATTTGCAGTTTCGTATACATACGGAGTCATTAATATTTTAACATATGAATTTATGCGACACCGAGAACTTATTATAGTTCTTGAGGTGGAAATTATAAAAGTGAGCGAATTTACTCGAATATTTAACTTCATCGGTCAACATGATCAATACTTAGTGAATTTGCTTACTTTTATCATTTTTGCCTTTTTTCAAGAACTGTAATAAATCCCCAATATATTATATATGATTTCCATATATGCCTTAATAAGCAGTTATATAGGCCACGACATAAAAAAATAAAAAATCATAAAGTAGTAAAATGTACCTAAATAGTAAACGGCCAATCATAATAAAAAACGTAATCCAAAACTTTAATTAGCATATTGCTAACGTCTTAATTCATGCTTAAAACTTTTTGCGTGCCATGGCCCTAAATGTTGAAATATCAACGACTCTGTGTAGACATACAAATATAGGTATACGTCTAATTAGCTTTACTTTTTCCCTTTTCGCCATATTTTTTTCGTCGTATCTTGTTGTTTGCGCGTATAAGAGAAATGCGCCACAAGGAACAAACGAAGATGACAAAACAAATGGAAGGCGAATGTATATGGCACAGGTCGCGAAAAAAACATTAGGAACATGTTCGCAGTTTCCTTGTGAGGTAAATTTCTTGTGAAACGAAATAGCAAACCCACATTAGACATAGAGAAACCCCACGTGCAGCGCGTGACTCGTTAAATACTGATCGTTTCTAGCGCGTGATAAAATTGCAAATCAAGTCTCGGAAGATGAATGCTAGACATTGTGAGTATCGCAGAGACAGATAATCTTTTATGACAGATCATTTTATAATGTCACACGGCACTATCTTTAAATTTATTGGAAGGAAAAAGAGAGAAATTTTTAACAAGTAGTGATTAAAAATTCAGGATTACCTAGAATTTATATTCTTAATTCAAAGTATTATAACTTAGATAATAATCTATAAATTTGAATTTTTATATAAAGTTACGAATTGTTTGCAAAATGTTTTACAAAATATTTTTACAGTAAAACTTGTTATTAAAATTATAATGTTACTGTAAAATTTTTCTTTATTCTTTTTACCCTTGCTTTAGACTTCATTTAGACATTATCATAAAAGTTCATCAGCTTTCGTAATTATATATGATAATTATTAAATTATCGGTGTTAGTAAATTTTATCACGGAAATTATATATTTTTTTATTATAAAAAAATATAAAGGCTTAGTTTCTCTCATACACATTCAACGTGAACATATAATCTGATACAATTTTTTAAAAAATAGGATGTATCGCGTCATCTATGTGCGCCTTTTAGTAATATCACTAGATATTCCTACATGCAAGAAATTAATGTCCCTAAAAAATTCTTAAATTATCAACACAGTTGTTTCGGTCTGGGACAGAGTGTCATTGTATACTCTCGTTATTTTTGCAATATCGTGAATTTCATGATAATTTAACCATTCGCCATAGTTAAAATGAATATCCAAATATGTTAGTAAGGACGATTTGAGGCAACGGAAAAGATAAAAATAACTTGCGTCAACGCGTTAATATATGGTAAATAACTTTTACTGACACGTGTATGTTTATCTTGGATTCGAGTTTACACTTTGTTTCGAAATGAGTTTTTTTTTACGTTTTTGTAAGTGCCCCGGAAATTTGGAATTGCTAGTGAATGGTAATGTTTATGCATTATGTCATTATGCACTTATTATCTGAAGATAGTATAATGTATTTCTACTGTATTTGATACTAAAACTTTTTAAGTTGTAGTTAATAGTGTACAGAATGAATTGCAAAAAATGCCGAATAGAGTAAAGTTTCTCATGTTCTGCATGTATACATAAAACTACACAAATTACTTAAAAAATTATATCAAAAGTTGTATATCATTATGTCGCTACGCATGTATTTTCTGAAGATAATGTAATGTGTTTCAACTGTATTTCATACCAAAATATATAACTTAATAAGTGCAATAGGTCTATTATTTTCTATAGTCAAACTAGTGTTTATTTTTGGAACTTAAAATGAAAGATACATATTTGATATCTGGCGAAAGTGAGGAAAAAAGTTCTGTATAGTATAGTCTTAACAGAAATAAGAAACAGACCTAATAATACTATACTTTTGATAATATAATTTTTTAAGCTGTAAAATTTTTTTATGCTTACATGTGCAGCAGCGTAAAAACTGTATCATTTTTGGGTTATTGAATCTACATATTAATATACATCAATAATATGAAATTTTATGTATTATTCCTATGTAAATGACAGTATATTAATATTTTTGTTCAGGTATAAAAGTTAAATAAAACAATGGCATACTCTGAACAGAATCACGACATACCTAAAGGTACCAGAGTAAAACAGAATGGACAATATGAGATTCCAGGAGAAAAGATTGCAGCCAAGACAGGCTTAGATATATTATATACATCTCGGATAGACCACGGTATAACTGAGGAAGATGTAGAAAGAAAGATAACGTCATTGAAACATTTACTGGAGAAAGATCCAAGAGCTGCCGATTTAAAATGGTCCCTTTTTGTGGCAGCATCCAACACTTACCGTTACGACAGTTGTTTAAAACCGTTTCCGCCTATGTACATCAAAAACGAGTGCAAGGATATCGAAGCATTGGTATTATCCTTAATATTTCTAGAATAGTATATAATATTTATCTGATATATCCCTTTCTCTACAGAGGAGAGCCATAGAATCAGTCCCTCCTTTGCCTGTGATATGCAAAGAACTCGGTGAGACAAATGTCTACCAAAATTACGGCGAAATAATAGAGCTATTGTATTGGGTACTGTTACGATTAAGAGATCCATACATCAAAAGTGTACAGAAAGAATGCGTAAGTATACATATCATAATTTCCGAGATTTCAAAAATCAAAGGAATACATCACAGTATGGTATAAAATTTTAGATAAATATTTATATTACAGTACAATTCCATACTGAGGAAAGTGCCATTGGAAGTGCCGGTTGCAGCACCAAATCTTATATTTCAAATAGCAAGTGCGAAACACTCTACATCAGAAGAGAAATGGAAGTCAAATGCTAAAGGTCATTCAACATTTTATGCGTATCACGGCAGCCGTTTGGAAAACTTCCATTCCATCGTGCACTATGGTTTACAACAAAACATGTGCAAAGTGCAGTAAATTTATATTCAATTAAACTGAAATTATTTTTCTGTCATTTTATATATATATATTTTTTGTACTGCTAAAATTAAACTTTGATATTGCCATAAAGTTATAAAAAATTAGCATAAATTTAATTTTGTTATTTCAGAGATCAGAGTTTGGCAAAGGAATATATTTTTCAAGCGAATTAGGAGTGAGCTTACCGTACAGTCCTGTGGGTTATGGTTGGGGAGGTAGTCTTCTTGGAAGCGAGATAAGCTGTATAGCTCTCTGTGAGCTTATTAATCATCCTGATATAAAGAGAGGAGATTCAAGTAAGTGCACAATGTATCTGCGAAAGTGATGATAGTTCATAGTATATCAAGGTTTAAAAAGAAAGTTTCTGCAATAGTTTTATGTTTCAGGAGATAACGCACAAAATACATTGAGTGATTCAGTTGGTGGAAGAATACCAGACAAGTACTTTGTAGTGACAAATAGCGACTTAGTAAGGATACGCTATTTGCTCGTTTATACTCAAGATCTCCATACAACTAGGTAAGTTAGACATAATATAAGCATTAACTAAGCTTTACGTTGTCACACAATCATTGCTATAAAAATCTTACTACTTTAGTACTACTGATAGTACGGGATTGCTGGCATGGTTCAAGCAACACAAATTACTGACATTTGTGCTCGGCTACGTCGTGCTGTTAGCCTCAGTTGGACTAACACAGAACAAACAAGTAGAGAAATACTATAGATTATTTATTCAGAAAGCAGGATTCGAATAAAAGAAGGATAAGAATATAAATTTATACAACTTGATTACTATAAGTTGAAGTCTTGATGTGAAAGAGACAAGGTTACAAATTTCACATTTTCATAAAATTAGACTCTATGTGTGCCAAGATTAATAGCATCGTAAAAAGCTGCAAATGCTTTAAAATTATATAAAAGAAAAAATCTTTTAATAGCATTTCTGTGATTTGCATTTTTAGCATTTACAGCCTTTTTATCTGTCAAATTTTCGATTATATTGAACTCGTCCACCAATTCGTATGTGTGAAAAATATCATCTTTTATATACATTTTTTAAATATACATGTGACAATTAAATAAATATTTTCTATGATAAAGATGTATATATACGAACATACTGTTTTATACAAAATGTTTTCATTTCCATAACTTTTAGTATCGTGAGAGTATGATAGGAAAGTTCTCAGTGACCAAATAATCATCTTCAAACACAACGATAAGGTTTACTTCAAATTCTGGAAAAATATTAAATTATAACTCTGTAATTCACACTTTTGTTTTAATGCATAACCTGCAATAATATTCTTACCAACTTTGAAGTTGCTTGTGCTTAAAGTGGGGCATGTAAATAATCTTGGAAATATCATGTAGATTGGAATAGCAAGATTGGTGCAAGCATTGCCCTCCCCAATTTGTATATTTTGTATCTCCGTCGCTGTAAAAATACAATCTTGTTAATCTTGATCTGTTACCGCAGTTATTGTATCCATATGGATTCACTGCATAATTGTTTTTTTTTTTTTTTTTTTACCATCTCTAGAGTATCCTTCCGCACATCCACAAGTTTCCACCCTTACTAATTGTAATTCTATAGACTTTATAACAGCCTCGCACTGTTCAATCACTACCTGTACGTACAAATAATATATAAAAGTGCAATATTCTGATATTAATAAACAGAAAAAAGTCACATACTTCTCCTGTCAGGGGTTCAGAGAGTTTGCAATACAAAGAGTCTAATCTTCCCGAAATGCAAAATCTTGGTACGTTGGGTCTGTCCCGAGTATTTTGCAGAGACTCTGGCATTATTTTGAAGAACACAATCTTACTATGATCCTTCTCCACTTTGGCACTTGCTTTATCCTCGACTATAAACTCCAATGACTTGCTGACATCTTTTGCGAGGAAGCTTCTTTTTATATCACAGCGTATCAGGTATTGTATATTCACAAAAACACCGTGATACGTTTCATAAAGAGATTTGTTTCCTCTTGGCTTTAATGGCAATTCGAATGGTATTTCCGTCTTACCATTGGGAATCTTTCCAGATGGAGCAACATCTAGTGTATATTGTACTAATTGTATCGGCTGAAAATAATTATGATTTATGCAATAAAACGTTAGTCTCTGCTATATTTACATTAAGAGAAAAACAAAAATTAAATTTAAAAAAATAAGTAATTCAACAGTTTCCTTATATCAATATTTATATATACATCAAAGTACTTACTTTAACGGAATTATAAAATGCTTCGAAAATGCCGACGTTCTTGGAGCTAAGCTGCAAATTCACCGAGCCTTCCATGGTGAGAAATATACCATCGTGCTTCACGTCTGAATTAGTTTTTAACTGTATCAGGCCAGCAACTACTTCCTGCAATATATAACCTCAATTTTCATTTCGAATATATATCCACAATTTAACAAGAGAATAAAAAAACCAACCCCTTCGTGATATATTTTACTCGCGCGTTTCAATTTTATGTCTATATTGATAGACATTTTGCGGATGATCCCTTTTTTTGCCACTTGTCAAAGAGTACCAAAGGTATCAGCTCATCTGTTACGAGAAATTACACGTCGTCAAGTGATTAATCACTATATATTAATTCCATGTATTTTATTCCTTATGTTCAATGCAAAAAAGAAGATAAATAATCACTGTTGAACCATGTATGTACATACACGAGCTTCGAAAATTTCGGAAAGCATCAGACCGATACGAATCGTGACTTACGATCAGCTGTTCGTAGACAACTGATAAGTTGAGGTTGTGAGAGTGACAGCTGTGCGAGTCGAGACGTCTGTCTCGCTTTATAATATAATATTGTATACTGTAATTAATGTAATGTACACTGTAATTAATGTAATTTATATATAGTATTATTATATGTATATAGTAAACTATTTCTGTATATTGACTTCCACCATGAATTATTCGGTTTCTTACATGCTCACGCGCTGTAAGCTTCATTCTATCTTCCTTTTGTAAATTATAAATACAATGAAGCTTACAGTGTGTGAGCACCAGAACCGAACGCAACCAGACGAGTACAATATTTGATTCTGGACAAGTCGTTATTGGCATCACAAATGTTACAATCACAAGAAAAGTATCGAATTGAATAAATATGAACTGTTTCCACGCAACTAATGATTTTTATGATGAACAGTTCGATATACGAAACCAATATTTACGTAGATCTTAAAAAATAATTACACTTGCATGACAACTTTTCAGTTGGAATTCTTGTAGGGAGGACTTGTGATGTCCAAAATCATATAATCATAAATTATAAAATATAACTACTATTATTCAGCAGTAGAATGACAGTAGAACTGATTCAAAAATAAGACAAATTGAAAATATTTGGAGATACCACATCTAAAGATATATACGATAATCTTTCGAAAAGTAAAGATAAAAAGTGAAGTGAAATGATTACAAAGTAATATTAATAATAATTTCTCCTCTATATATAGTAAAAGATAATTTATGTTTCTTTTTGTTATTTTTTTCGCGCTTTTAATACCCTAAATAAAGTATAGCTCAAACGCGTCTCCTTTCTCGCGTCTCTACATTTTTTGATCGTTTTTGTTGCAGAAAACCGCCATCACATTCTTTGACAACTTTTGAGCTGCTTATTAAACCTTATGTCCACGATGCTAGAAATCGGTCTGGACCTCGGAGGAAGAAAGAATTGACCAATCGCAATGGTCAAATTGTTCAAATGTGATTTGTTAATTTTTTCTCTGTTCGAGATCTCGGACCGATTTCTAGTATCGTGGACATCGGGCAAACTCATTCCCTTCATCAAAGGGAATTTTCTTACATTCTTACTCCGTGATGACACGACCAATGAAGAAGGGGGGCAGGTCGGGCAGGTCGGCCGACGGGTAAGCTTATCGACGCGGCGCGGTGCAACTATAATCCTTGCTGCGCAGGCGCGCATTTGCTTTCTTCTGCGCCGGCTTCCTGCACTAACAAATTCAAATCGACGGAGTCGTTACTTGCGAGAGTTGGCCTCCTGAGCGACTTACTTCTCAAAGGAAGGGACGGAGATTTGTGTCTGCAACGGAAACAAGGACCTCTGCGCGATTGTGACTGACTATGGCGACAAGAAATCGGACCGCTATCACGGTGAGCACGAGATTATAATTTGCAAGCGCGGAAAAATCCCTCCTGTTGATAACGGACGGGTATCAACGGTCTAACAGTTGTCCTGACGCCTGACATCTTTAAATGCCCCCTCGCACGCTTAAATGCCACTCAATGATTATGACCTCGGGATTTCAATACCAGTTATTTCTTAATCTCATCCCAATAATTTTGGATCTTACGAAAACTCCTCAAGCGGATAATTTTTGTTGAAATAAATCTAGAAGAATAATACGTATGAAGTTTCTCCCTTATCAATGTTATAACATTTTTACGTATGAAATGGAACGTTTAAGTACTGATAGCTTCATATTAGCATTCGAGACGACGACATATAAATTGTTTATAAATTAACTAAAGATATTAGCCATTCAGCACAAAGGGACTACTGGACTCCAAAGGACTAAAGACATCCCTATGTTCTGAAGATGTTCTCAGGATGTTTCTGGAATAAAGTATGCTGTATGGATAATATCTTTATTTAATTTATAAACATTGTATAAATGTAAGAATTACATGTAGCTTGAATTTGCACCATTGTTCCATAACTTCATCAGGCTGCTCCATATGTACATACTGCTTCATTTTTATTGATATTTTTATGTATAATATAAGAGAAAAAATTTCAATACGAATATATATATATATATATCGCTTTTTCTATTTATACAAAAACTTATCCAATAAACACTAACTAACAATAACATAGCTATAACATAATTTTGTTATAATTTCTCACCGAACAATATAACTAAAAAACTGTATTATATTGTTGAGTAGGAAATTCTAACAACAGTACGTAATTGTTAAAGTCAGTGTTGTCTGGGTAGAATATCGTATTGTTTTAAATTTTACCTTTAAAATTTTTTTTTGAACATATGTTTTAGAACCATGCAAACCAGGAAAATATTAAAAGTATAAAACCTTCGGTGGTTGTTGTACCATCGAAAGGAAAAAGAGCTGTACTAGGTGAAATAAGTAACAGGGTTAACACGGTAAGGGGCGTTGAACCCATTGATAGGGTTAGTTTATTACAAAGGAAGAAAGTGCCAGTAACAAAGCGGCAAGTTGTAAAGCCAAACGTAAATCCATCTGAAAAGCCACCAGTGCAAATCGTAAAACCAATTGTAAAACCAATTGTAAAAACAATATCATCTTCCAATGTAAATAATGCTTGCAACGTAGTCAATGTACCAGCTCCTCTTGTTAGTCAAAAGAGAGAAGAGAGGAATTCGTTTTCAACGGATTTATTAAAATTTGAAGATATTGACGAGCAAGACAAGAATAATCCTATTCTAGTTTCTCTCTATACTTATGACATACACGAATATTTAAGGACGTTGGAGATTAAATTTACTATTAAGAAGGGATATCTAACGGGCCAGGAAATCACCCCTAAGATGAGATGCGTATTGGTAGATTGGTTGGTAGAAGTGCATCAACAATTTCGATTGATGCAAGAGACGTTGTATCTCACCATCGCAATTATCGATCGCTTCTTACAAGTAAGACAAATAATATAATATGTCGCAATAAAAGTAAACATCTTTCAATATTACAAAGAAATTATATGCATACATTTAAATGATTATATGTATATTTTGTTCTTAAATAGGTGTTTCGATCTATAGATAGGAAGAAATTACAGCTGGTAGGTGTAACAGCTATGTTTATCGCTAGCAAGTATGAAGAAATGTATTCGCCAGATATAAGTGATTTTGTATATATCACGGACAAAGCATATTCAAAGATAGATATATTGAATATGGAAATGCTTATTGTGAGAACTTTGGACTATTCGTTCGGGCGACCATTACCGCTGCATTTTCTTCGAAGATATAGCAAAGCTGGAAAGGTATGATGTATATGAATATACGGAAATTTTTATTTTTATTGTTCCATTTATGTTTTTTATAACTAGCACTGTAATTTTTTTTATAAATAAAGTCTAAATGATTTTTAAGGCGCTCCCTGTACATCACACGATGGCTAAATATTTTCTCGAGGAAAGCTTGATTTATTATGAAATGTGTCATTATCCACCTAGTCTCATCGCTGCAGCAGCGATATACCTAGCATTTTTGTAAGTAACTAAATCATCTTATGCTATACGTTTCTTAGCATCTTCTTCGATTAAGTCCGGATCTACAATAGGGTTTTAAGCCTTAAGCCGTAAGAAATTGCAGTCGAGTGCGAGGAGAATAATTGACTGTGATTCGTCCATTTCTTATGGCTTAAGGCTTAAAACCCTATTGTAGATCCGGATTTATAGAAAATGTTTGTTCATTAGAATTATCGGTAATGATGAAGAAGACGAAGGCAAGGTTATTTGGTCAGATACTCTCGCATACTATAGTACTTACTCCAAGGACGATGTGTTACCTGCAGTATACGATATAGCTGCCATAATAACTAATGCAGAAAACAGTAAATATCAAGCTGTGAGGAAGAAGTACGTTCATATGAAACACATGAAAATTAGTATTCGACCAGAACTTAAGTCGCCAATTATGCTTTCCATTGCAGGAAAAAGCAATAAGTCATAAATTTGTAATAAAACAATAGAATTTGTGAACTCGCTATTTCGAGATATTTTCAATAAGATGTTTGTTACATTAAACGTCATATCGATGAATATGACTATGGACATTATAGTTCATGGAAGATTACATCAAAAAATAAATTAAGATAAATAGAAGATAAAGTAAAGCTTTATCACAAAATGATGAATGTTGTATGCGTTAGACATTTCATGTACAAGTTTCTTATTGAAAAATCTATTCTCATTTGGTCACGTACGAAAACAAAGACGTATTTAGAGTTTTATATACAAATGTTTGTTACTATAAGTAAAAATTTAGTCGGGTAATACTGATGGACTTTATTTGGACTGCCGTAGTAAAACTAATTATAGCGGAAAACATAAAACGCATCTTTTATAATGAAATATTAAATAAAGCTTTTAGTTTTTATTCCTAGTTGATTATAATAATATTTTAATTTTGATATAAGTCCTACAAAGATACTTTTGATGTCACCATATGAAAATATGTGAGTATTCTAAGCATACTTCATTTTTTTTCTTATACTTTTATATCCATATTTTCTCAAATGTCTATCTTAAATAGGAGTCTATCGTTAAGTCTTTCGATTGTTAATTTTGGAATATAAATTGGATACAATTTGTGTACGAAAGTGAGGCGTAATCATTTTTGAAGATACCATATATTGCTTAAGAAATTTTTATCAATATAATGATAAAGAAATGTTCTTTGATTTTACATTTTATATTACTATATCCTATAATATGTATATAAAATAATTAGTATATAGGTATTCGCGCATGCCTAAAGCAACATAAAATTTTATATTGTTAAGCAATCCAAATTTTAACGCTCCCAAATTTAGATGTTTAATATATGCATGACTCTACTTTAAGATCGAATACAAATGGCTATTATGTTTAGGCCTTATTAGTTGCAAATTTAATAATAATGATATAGATTAAATTACTAACTCTATATACACATACCTTTGTAAATAAAAGGCTAAATTACTATAATTTATCTGTATTGCATTAATCTCTTATATTTATTAGTAAAACTTTTTTCTTACATTCATACATTAATGCAACATTTTAAAAATATTTATTTATTTTTTAAAAGTTTTTAAAAAATATTTAGCACGCGTGGTGGTGTATCAGC